TAAAATAAAATAATAAAATAAAATAAAATAAAATAAAATAAATAAAAAAATAAAATAAAAAGTAGTAAAGTCAGATTGTCAACATGACTGTCCCAAGTTATGATCTTGATGGGAGGTTCGATTATGGTCATAACTGGAGGACTACCTATAGTCCAATATCATAACCATCACCCTTCACTAATTCTCATTGTGACCTGGTCTTGAGAGCCAAAAGTTTCATAAATTAGGACAGGGGTCCTAAAGTTTCATAAATTAACTATGGCCCTTTTATGGTCTGTGGACTCCAGCTCCCAGAATTCCTGAGCCATCATGGCTGGCTCAGGAATTCTGGGAGTTGAAATCCACAGGTCATAAGGGGAATGTAGTTCCCCATCTCTGGATTAGGGAAAGCAAAAAGTGGAGGCCACAACTGAATTGAAAGATTCCTACCATGAGTTTTGGGGTTACCTTGAATCACTGGCTTTTCTCAGTCTCGCCTAACATACAAGGCTGTAATACTGATCAAATGAAGAGTGACATGTTCATTATCGGGACATTCTTGGAGATAAATCAAATATATGTCTGTAATAACTAGTCCACTTTATGTAGTAAGCTGATATTTTCTGAGAGGACTCTTCCCCCCCCCCTCGCTGAATTATTTTTTCCTCAATGGTTGAAGACCATGATAATTTGCCTGGCATTTTTCCAACTTGCTGGAGATCATCTTTGTTGGAATTTCATCATTTGTGTGAAAAAAATTATAGAGCACAATATTGATTTGAAGCTTTGAAGCTTTCATAAGGAGGATCTGTTAGCTGGATGTGTTTGGTACACTAACACAGAAGTACCCCATCGCTCCCTTCCAAACACTTGTTTTTTAATTACTGTAATTTTAATTTGTTTATCTTTATCTCTCTGTCTATCTAACCGTCTGTCTGTCTGTCTGCCTATCTATCTATCTATCTATCTATCTATCTATCTATCTATCTATCTATCTCTATCTATCTATCTATCTATCTATCTATCTATCTATCTATCTATCTATCTATCTATCTATCGAGAGCATTTGCACCAAGACAAATTCCTTGTATGTCCAATCACACTTGGCCAATAAAGAATTCATTCTTTCTTTCTTTCTTTCTTTCTTTCTTTCTTTCTTTCTTTCTTTCTTTCTTTCTTTCTTTCTTTCTTTC